GGCGGCAGCCCTGGAAAGCGGTCTGCATGGTTTTCTCTCCTGTGAGCACCATGACAGCGGTGGTGACTATATCTCTTGATCGTGTGGGCAGCGAGATGCATAGCGACGGGTGGCTCGAGTGCGATCTTTGTCTCTGACAGTGGTGGCGCCTCGATCCGGATCTAGGATTTGTACTCGTCTCGCTCTCCTGAAGACCCCGTACCGACATGCGGGAGCTACCGGAGGAAAGCCCTGCGCATTGGCACCGACGAGGTGACACCCGTGGGCGCCACTATCTTCTTGAAGAGGTCGTCGAGGTGACCATCTTCGTGTTCAGGTTCCGGGTGAAGACCTTGTCCATTGCGGACTTAGTAGCGACGACTCTTTGCGCCATTCTCCCTCCTGGGGGCGTTACCGTAGAGCTTAGGTGTATTAGGGAGTAGTCTGGCGTTGTTTGCAGATCGTCCTGTGTTATATTCCGGTAGTGTAATGTGCGTGATCCGATTATCTTGGGATCGGCTTGGTAAGAGGACCACTTCACCACATCGTATCATTCGACCATGTACTTTGTTCGACTGTTGCTTTATCTATAAAGCGGGGTGAAAACCTATTTCAAGAGTGCTCGCCAACTCCCATCAACATCTTTCTGAAAAATGGATCAACTGCTTCAACTTGGATGAGGCGCACCAATGGGCGATGGCAGATGGACATGGGGTTGAATATCTTTCTCTGCAAGGAATGGCCTTTCCAATTTGATTTTGGAGTATCTTTTCATTCAAACTAGAGTCCATTGTACCTTTGTAGTTTCGAGATTGCTAAATCTCAGTTGATGGAGACTTAACCAAGTCCCTGTCGATGTTTTATTCATGAGATCATACATCGAATGGAGATCCGTGCAAAATTCTCTTTTAAACATTTTCCTTTTTTTTATATGTTTGGCAACTTGCTAAGACTTAGTGGACTGAGATCTAGTCGCAACCATGTAGTTTATCGTTATCTGTTGGCAGTACCATGCTTTCATCAATAAAGAAAAGGTACAAGGTGTTTTAATATTGTGTCTTCAGTGGCTTTGAGATTCATGTGATAGAATTCAAGGTGATGTCATGTCCTTGATCCGTCTCGTGTGTGTGTGTGTGTGTGTGCACGCGCGCGCGTGCGCGCTTGTGTGCGTGTGCATCTGCACGCGCGTGTGTCTGGAGGGTGGTCGTAACCGAGTCTGGCCTGATCAGTGAAGTGGTGGTAGCTTAATAGCTGATCGGAGAAGTTACCATAGATGAAGTATTCGATCACACGAGAAATCACGCTGAGATGTTGCCCCAAAATCTTATTGTCGCTCACTCTCAGTCGATTCAATAACTTCTCAAGGAATATTGTTTACGAGGGCTGCTCTTTCATACTCCCTCCATTCCACAATGTAGTGCTTTCTCTATCCACGTACTTCAAATTTGACCGTAAATTTAAATACCAAGATCGATTGTGATGGAAGCAAAAATTATATCCGTGAATTCGTATTTGAAAGAAGTTTTCAATTATATAATTTTTTCTCCCGCTGCAGTTGGTCTCGTTGGTTAAATTTATGATCAAAATTGGACCTCGGAAAGTGTGGGCGCACTATATTTTAGAATGAAGGGAGTACTAACGTGCACACCAACGTCAAGGTGGGAAGAAGCGCAACAAAATAAAATTACCCTTCGTCACAAATTATTTGTAAAGCTGGATGTATATAGATATATTTTTAATTCTAGATACATAAATTTCTATTTATTTCTACGACAATTAATCGGGACGGAGGAAATACTTGTCAATGAGTTTCTTTGTGTAAGAGAGAAGAGAGGGCTAGATTTTGTGTCGTGGTGTGAGTTTCTCCTCTAGCACGCTCCCCTTTTTATGGCATCTTGCCCCTTATGTTTAACCTAACTCCTACAATCTTAAGTGGCAAAATTATTAAGCTACCTCGTTTGGCTTGTGTTTTCTGAAGCGGAGCTGAATTTTAGAAAACAAAGCAATCTCAAACAGACTTCAAATACTGTGTCTTGGGTGGCTTCAAGATTCATGTTATAGAATTCAAGGTGACGTCCTCTCCTTGATCCGTCTCTTATATGTGCGTTTGTGTGCGCGTGCACGTGTGTGTGTGCGTGTGTGCGTGCGTGCGTGTGTGTGTGTGTGTGTGTGGAAGGTGGTTCTAGTCGAGCCTGACCTGATTGGTGAAATGGTGGTAGCTTAATAGCTGATCAGAGAAGTTACCATAGATGAAGTATTCGATTACACGAGAAATCACGCTGAGATGCTGCCCCAAAATCTTATCATCTCTCACTCTCAGATTGTGCAACAACTTCTCGAGGGATGTTTAGGACGGCTGCTTTCTCATACCAGCGTGCACACCGACGTCAAGATGGGGAGAAGCGCAATAAAATAAAATTACCCTTCGTCACAAATTATTTTTCAAAATGAATGTATTTGGACATATTGTTAGTTCTAGATACAGAAATTTTTATTCATTTCTATGGTAATTAATTCGGGGCGGAGGAAATACTTGTCAATGTGTGTGTTTGAGAGAGAGAGAGAGAGAGCGAGAAGAGAGGGCTAGATTTTGTGTCGTGGTGTGAATTTCTTCTCTAGCACGCTCTCCTTTCTATGGCATCTTGCCCCTTATGTTTCAGGTACAGTTAACCTAACTCTGACAATCTTAAGTGGCAAAATTTTATCAGGAAAAACGCACCGCTTACCTTATTAGCTCAGCTTGATCACGTATTCACGAGGACAAATTTGTATGGAAGAACAAATAAGTCGTTGCTTTCTTTTCTTATTCTACAAAAATATGTGAAGCAACTCACCTTATGTTGACATTATTTATCCTCAATCATTTTTTTTCATGCCCCGTATGTCGAATGTGGTTTTAAGATTTGCAGAATTTCATTAGCATAGAAAACCAAGTGACTGGTAAAAAATGTACGAGTTCACGTCGGTCGTGAAATCCATAGAAAACCATGGACTAACACTAAAATGGGTGCCGGCGATGAAAAACTCAAGGGAACCCTCTGGAAGCGGCATCTTGGCTCTTGGGTGCATCTACATCCACTAGTGAACAATAAAATCATTAGAGATAGTAAAAAAAAATGATGCAAAATGCTCATGTCCGTGAAGTCCGTTAGAAATAGTAAAACAAAATGATGCAAGATGCTCATGTCCATGAAGTTCGTGCCAAATTTCATGGAGTTTGGACATTTTATTAGCTCTCAGCAAAAAAGACGAAATTCGGACTTGTGAGAAACTTTTGAAAACAACAATTTTCAGTGCTTATTTTGTCTTTTTTGCCACGAGCCTCTTTAATGTCATTTAGCCATGAAATTTTGCATGCACCCGGCGCACTGAAACATCTTGCATCCAAAAACAACTTAGATCTTTCACAATTTTCTGCTCATTTTTTATTTTACTGTTCACCGGACACAGATGAACCGGCAGCGAATCGTATATCTGAAGCCCTCCGCCATATCGAGTCCGTTCAAATCTCATCTCCTCTGCATTTATTCCTTGCTTTTGCGAATGAATGTGGCTAGATTTCAGTCGACTGAGATTTAACCAAGTCTCGGTCAAGTGACATAACATGCTAGAGAGAAAAAGAAAAAGAAGAATTGCACGAATCTCAATGCATAGATCTCACGGATATAGCATTGAAGTCTCAGTCGGCAAGACTGTTTGCGAATAGCCAGGGTGATAGTGTTCTTGTCGTGGACAGGGACGCATGCCGGCCGGATAAACCGCCGTGCACCACCAGCAAGCAGACCGGTATAGTGCAGCCTCATTGATGGTGGCGCTGTGAGAAATGTAGTACATGGAAATTAGGCCAGAGCGTGGCACGAGCCCGAGCCCACGACACGCGAGAAAAGCGCGACAGCGCGCGCGCACAGCGTCGGCAGCACAGCAGCAGCAGCTGATGGAAACGCTTCCAAGGAACGGGGGACTTTTGGTCGTGCCGTCTTGCCCCGGCTGCTGTTGCTGCCTTTCACCATCCCCAGCCCCGCCCCGGTCGCCTCCTTCCTTCTCTTTTGCCATCGCCCATGCCACGGTCAGGTCAGGTCCCCTCCGCGCTGTGTACGCACAGTCCTCGCACAATGAAACCATCGGCAAAAGCATGGCGCGTCGGGTTACAATTTTTTTTTTGGTTAAACAGAAGAGAACTGTGACTACGAAGTACGAACGACGGTAGAGATGCATCCCGGCGGGACAATAAATGCTTCTTGCCGGCCGGCCGGGCTAGTTCTAGAGCGCAGGTGGTCTTCAGTCAAACGCACCGCGAGATCCCTTTCCGGTTTGGTCGCAAACATAGTATTAGCCAGGGCGCATCGACCAAGGCTCGGGTTTTCTTATCTTATGTAAACACGCTTTGACCAGGCTTTCTCACGACCTGCTGGCTTTGTCTACACTATCATCTCTCATATTTCACCATCTTGATGCAGTGCATTGCACAGTGATCATCACGCCGTGAAAGTTCAACTCTCCCCACCATTCTCTCCACGGAGGCCAGACTACCGACCTGGCCGGATTGTGCCGCAAGCCAGCGAGCAGTATTGGGGAACAAGTCGAGAGCTCTCGATCAACGCGCCTGCTTTTGACTCGGTAATGCAGACGCAAATCCACCAGAGCTGCGAGGCAAAAGCTAGCGGAGACTTCTCTGTTGTGACTGTCGCTGGGGAAGCCTCCCCGGCCCACTCTGTGTACCTTGCCGGGGAAGCCTCCCCGGCCCACCGCCCCTCGCCGTCTCCACCCACACACACCGTCCTTCTCCGGCGCGCTAAACCCCATCCAGCTGACATCCCGGGCCCACCCGACCACCTCACTTACGTGTGGGACCCACCTACCACCCTCCCGCTCTATATAAACCCTCTCCCACCCTAGCTCCAAGCCACACACCAAAAAGAATTTCACTCCACTCCACTCCACTGCAAGCAACAATACAAACATCATCCGAGCATCCTAAGATCGACCGGAGTCCTTCCTTCCTTACTTTCACGTAGCCGGCCATGGAGAAGGCGGCGGAGAACGTTGACGCTGGCGCGGCGGCGCAGCTGCAGCTGAAGCTGTTCGGGTCGTGGGCGAGCTCGTACACGCACCGCGTGCAGCTGGCCATGCGGCTCAAGGGGCTCGCCTTCGAGTACGCGGAGGAGGACCTCGGCAACAAGAGCGACGCGCTGCTGCGCCTCAACCCCGTCTACAAGAAGGTCCCCGTGCTCGTCCACGACGGCCGCTCCCTCGCCGAGTCCGTCATCATCCTCCAGTACCTCGACGACGCCTTCCCGGCCTCCCGCCAGCTCCTCCCCGCCGACGCCTTCGACCGCGCCGTCGCTCGCTTCTGGTGCCACTTCGGCGACGACAAGGTATGCATACACGCGCACGCGGTGCTCGTGATGATTCTCTGACGCCCGTGGAACATGGCTGACCTGTTTCTGTGGAATGCAGCTTGGGCCGGCGGTGGGGGCGGTGTTCGCGTCCACGGGGGAGGAGCAGGAGGCGGCGGTGCGGCAGGTGCACGAGAACCTGGCGCTGATCGAGGCGGAGCTGCGGGAGGGGGCGTTCAAGGGCCGGCGCTTCTTCGGCGGCGACGAGGTCGGCTTCCTGGACGTCGTCCTGGGCTGCGGCTCCTACTGGCTGGCCGTCTTCGAGGAGGTCACCGGCGTGCAGCTGGTGGACGCCGAGGCGTTCCCGCTCTTCCACGCCTGGCTGCGCGACTTCGAGGCGCAGGACGAGGTGAGGGAGACCATCCCCTCCATCGACCGCCTGCTCGAGTACGCGCGCGGCCTCCGCCAGATGCTGGTCGCCATGGCCGCCGGCCCCGGCGCTGGCGCAGCCTCGGCCGACGCCCCCACCGCCGCTCCGCCCGCCGCGGCACCCCCGGCCGCCACCACGGCTGACATCGCCGTGGACATATGATATGACCGCAGGCCGTGCACGCGCTGAACTGTGGTTTGTGTCGGTCGGACGTCGTCGTCGTAGCTACTAGCTAGTATAGTTTCCCGTGTTGTGCGGTGCCGAGCATGTGGCGAGGCGCCAAGAATTGCGCTGCTACCACTAAGTGGCGCAGTCTGGCTAGGTGTCGTTGATTTCTTTCTCTTCTCTTCCACTCTTTGTTATGCGTTGTGTGTTTGTAATTGGGAATCTTATGCGTTTGCTTCCTAGCTTTGCTTGTTTAGACATAATGCACGTGTGTGAGACTGGCATTTTCGTTGGATTCAACGGCCACATGAGCGAGAAGCTGACGCTGTGTTCCTCCTACCAACGAGTGGGTAGTGCGCATTACAGTTTCTTTTAACTGCGGGTAACTCTGGCGGACTGGTATCACAGTTTAGCAACGGTTTTCACCTCACAAGTTCACTATAGCACTATATTGATGCCAAGAGGGAGTGGAGTACAAGTCCGGCCCAAGTTGATTTATGTTAGTTCTGCCCCAAAATGCTGCGGTTAAACGTGGGTCAGGATGGGGGTCCAGCGGCGTGGTAACCATTTAATGCTACTGATTTTATCAACACCTGCTTCTGCAAAGTGTAAACTTCTCTACTATTGAGAATTCATTATCAGTGCGTGCGTTTGTCATGAAGCCTGCTGCTCATCCACACCGGCCATTAGGCTGGTCACAATGGGCAAGAACATAAGCTAGTAACTTCACACTTTTCTAGACTATGTTACTACCTTCATAGTGGGTAGGAACATTTATGTAGTGTCATGCAACGATGTATTTATTAGGTTATAGACTCATTGTTTCTTGAAGTGTGTGATGTTCCGGTAACTTAACTAGTTACCACAAGCACCTCTCTCTTCATTAAATACATGCCACATAAGCAAAATTGTATTGGAGTGTGTGATGTTACTCCTAAGTTCCTCCCACTGTGACCAGCCTTAACTTCATGCCCTGCACCCAGATGCTGCATCATGCCATCATCGTGCCCAACTTGACAACTTCCGCTTGATGGTTTCAGTTAATCCCTATCACAAAACACGATCAAAGAAACTTATCTCCAAAACAAATCCAAGAAACCCAATAATCTCGTTTTGCAGCGGCTGGCAGAGCGCGCCGGCGCTGACGGCAATGAACAAAAAGAGTGCATGGGGACAAATAATTCCTACCGCGGGCGGCAAAATTGATAAATTTAACCTATGAACGAAATCAAATTATAGAATGAACTGTCCGTGAAACTATTTCACAAGGTTCACCTTTTTGTGTGACGCTTGACACAAAGGCGCAACACTACACTGTGCAACCTCACAGGTAGGCGCTACACGCCTGGCCAGCGTCGCACCCGTGTGATCCGAAAATTACTAAGTCAGTGTGCAGCGCCTGAGAGCTAGGCGCCACACTATACAGTGTAGCGCCTAGCTTCTAGGCGTTGCACTAGTGGTTGTTTCATTTTGTAGTGCAACCACTAGTGCAGTGCCTGAGAGCTAGGCGCCACACTATACAGTGCAGCGCCTAGCTCTTAGGCTCTGCACAATGACTTAGCAATTTTTAGGCAGTCTGGGGTGCAACGCTGGCCAGGTGTGTAGCGTCTATCTGTGAGGCGTTGTACATTGTAGTGTGACGCCTTGGTGTCGGGCGTCACATAAAAAGGTCAGCCGCGTGAAATAGTTTTACGGACAGTTCATTCTGTGATTTCAAATTTATTAAATTTGCCACCGCGGGCGCTGCAGCCTGCAGATTTCATACGCACACCGATATGGGCGCTGGCGGGCACGCAGAGCTCAGAGGCCGAGCACCGCCGCAGAGCTCCTGGCTAGAAATAAGAGCCGGGACAGCGAGAGAGGATCCGAAGCGGTGCCGATCGTGTGGCCACGGGGAGATCGCCTAGCTCTGACCTTTTTTAAAACTCGGCAGAGTGGGAGCCTAGGGAGTAAATAAAGCGGTGTCAGGTGGCGGAGGCGGATCCACTGGTGCGTCGTGGCGACCTCCGGCGGCCGCGCCCGTGCGCGTCGGCGTCGCCCACGTGAACGGCGGGTGCGTGCGTCCCCGCTACGGCCAGAGGCCGGATACTAGAGTAGTAGGAGTATTAGTGGTGCACAGTGCGCTCATTATTCTTGCCGGGATCGGGCCAGTTCGGAATCATGCCGCGCGCACGTCCGCATTTAACCCCCGCCCTGACGCCCGCCGTTGATTGATCACTGACGCCAGGCCACGACGGACGGATGGACGGACGGGCGGGCGGAGTATTCATCGCTTTGCATCTACTCCAGTTGGCGGATTGATGGAGCACGTACGTACGCGCGTACTGCCCGATCGCAACGGAAGCTACTGCTAGGGCTCTTTCGGTACGCTCGTGCTCCGCACTTTGCGTTTGTACTGTAGCTCTGTATGTCTTCTACGTCTGCTGGAAAATTAACCAGTCAGTCACAACATTAGGGCAACTCCAACCAAAAGACCCAAACCAACACAAAATTATCCTTTTTTGTGTCCGCTTGGGTCGCCAAACGGACATACGGACACGCGCAGTGCATCCAACGGTGCTACCCCATTTGAAATGACATTCGTCGGCCTGGCCGTCGCCGGAGAGGAGAAGATTGAAGATGTGTTATCGGAGCCACCCGAGCCGACCAGGGCGACCACCCCGCCACCCTCCTCCTCTAGCACTGGAGGGAGCATTGTGCCGCCGGCCCCCTCCGCTTGGCGCCAGAATGCCTGGGTGAAGCACCCCCCCCCCCCTCATCCTCCTCTGCTTGACACCGGAACGCGTTGGTTGCCGCCACACCACCATCCTTGCCTTGCGCTGGAGGGATCGCCGCTGTCGGTGTCAAAACCGACGGATCTCGGGTAGGGGGTCCCGAACTGCGCGTCTAGGCCGGATGGTAACAGGAGGCAAGGGACACGAAGTTTTACCCAGGTTCGGGCCTTTTTGATGAAGGTAAAACCCTACGTCCTGCTTGATTAATATTGATGATATGGGTAGTATAAGAGTAGATCTACCACGATATCGGAGAGGCTAAACCCTAGAAGCTAGCCTATGGTATGATTGTTGTGTCCTATGGACTAAAACCCTCCGGTTTATATAGACACCGGAGAGGGTTAGGGTTACATAGAGTCGGTTACAATGGTAGGAGATCTATCTATCCGTATCGCCAAGCTTGCCTTCCACGCCAAGGAAAGTCCCTTCCGGACACGGGACGAAGTCTTCAATCTTGTATCTTCATAGTCCAGGAGTCCGGCTAAAGGTATAGTCCGGCTATCCGAACACCCCCTAATCCAGGACTCCCTCAGTAGCCCCCGAATCAGGCTTCAATGACGATGAGTCCGGCGCGCAGATTGTCTTCGGCATTGCAAGGCGGGTTTTCCTCCAAATTCCGTGTACCTGTTGAATAAAGTCCGATTTCTTGTAAATGTTGCGCTCCTTGGCTTCTACGCCCAATAATGGCCGTCTCCCACGTGTCAAACGAATATGAAAAGTCTGAGCGTTTTTACATCCACACCCCTAGCCGCGTAAATGAGCCGCCCATTTAAGGGGATGAGGATTTAGATTCAAACCACACCTTCTCCCCTTCGCGAGTGTTCATCAGAGCGCATCCAACAAAGGTCCATTCCACCATGGCCAGCCGTCACAACTCCTCCTTTCGCCCTTCCAGCCCTCAGCCTGGATATTGGGAGAGATGCTCCATCCTGCATAGCGAGCTAGTGACGCTCCAGACCAAGGGATTTCTCCCCCCGGCCTATATGGTCCCGGTTCGAGCCGGTCTTGCCATCTATAACGGTGGAGAGCAAGCGGAGAGTGTCCCTAATCCCTCCAAAGGAGAGCGGGTATGCCTTGTCCCTTATTTAATAAGAGGGCTCGGATTTTCAATCCTCCGTTTCTCCGGGGGCTCCTGGAGTTCTATGGCCTCCAGCTACACAATCTTATGCCTGCCTCCGTATTGCATATCGCGGGCTTCGTAGCCCTCTGCGAGCTATTTTTGGGTGTTGAGGCTCATTTCGGGCTATGGAAAGAGCTATTCTGCCTTGTGCCCCATTCTCAGAAGGGGTCAATATATCAAGTGGCCGGAGCCGAAGTGTGGCGCATCGCCGGGATCGGATATCTATCCGTAATCCCAAAGAAGGCGTCCGAGGATTGGCCTTCGGAATGGTTTTACATAGAAGATGTCCCGCTGCCGGATCCTGTCCGGATCGGCCTCCATGAGTTCGACAATGCTCCACTAAAGAAGTGCCTAAGTTGGCGTCCACGGAGCCCTGAGAGGGAAAGTGACAAGGACGTTCTTTACCTGATGGGCCGGATAAGATTGTTAGCTCATTCTGGACTGACCATGATCGGGGTCATGGCCGCATGCATCATGCGAGGGGTGCAGCCGCTACAGTATAGAGGCCACCCCATGTGGGACTTCAACGGGGAGGATGACGCCACCCGCTACGGCCGTCAGGGGCCGGATTTGGTTGCGGCTCTAACAAAGACCTTGTCCGCTTTGTACAAGGGAGAAGAGAAGGAATTTCTTCGCGTCGACCCACAGGATGGATTTTCTATGTACAATCCCCCAAGCTGGGTAAGCGGTCACATTTACATGCCCATCCGTTTTATATTCCCATTGTTAAATATTCAGTCTAACGACTTCAATGCAGGAACTGCGCCAGGCTGTTAAAGAAATAAACAGCCCTCCTCCACAACCCGAGGACCTAGGACGGTCCCTCGACCCGGCCTCTCAAGAGGATCCAGACTTATCTGTGGAGCTGATTGATGGAGTGTTCCATCAATTGAGCAAGGACAACGCCTTGGTGGCCATTACAGCCGATTACCCAGGGCTAATCCCGGCCTCCCAGGTAACTGAGATCGAAGTCCCAGTACCCCGAATAGGGGTCCGCCCTCTTGTGTTTTCAGTTTCCTGATTACAACCGAGCTTTGCAGGGGAGGTTTTTGAGACGGGAGGCCGAACCTGCGGCGACAAGCCAACGGGGTGCCGCAGGGCCC